TTGCTTTGACCCTTAATTTTTTCCACTGAGGGAATTATAATCAGTAGGACTTAGAAATTTGGACATCTTACCTTTAGCAACAGAACTTTGATAGTGTAGTGGGTTGTGCATTAGGCTTCTAAGTGCAAGATCAGCAATCTGAAATCACCAACCATTCTGTGGGACAGAAATGAGACTTTCTTCTCCCATAAACAGTTACAATTTCAGAAACCCAAAAGTGCAGTTCTATCCAGTCCTAGAGCTCTCTATGAGTTGGAATGGATTAGATGGTAGTGAATTTGATTTGAGGGTTATTTTTAGTAAGATTTCTGTTTATTTTCTTAAAAAGAAAAATTTCTGTTGGGAGTAAGAGGTTCAGGGTATTTTGCTTCTTCTTCTTTCTCAGGCGCCTGTTTAATATTGCCCCCCACCCCACCCCCACCCCTAGGAGAATCAGTTTAATATTGCCTCCCTCTAGGAGAATCAGAAAACAGTAATCACTGCTTTGGGATAAAGCAAAGCTGATTGAATGTCAGCTAGAAGAAAGTTTTTAGACAAATGAGGATGCTATGTGTCATAGAAAGCCAAATGCTGTAGAGTCAAAAGATCCAAAATAGATAAATTAATAGCTATATCCTATAAATTATCAAGTTTTATTTTTGTCATCCCCTAACTCATTAGGCTGTCTTCATCAAGGGAATAAAAGCGTGTTTGATGAAGAAGAAAGCATTTTGTAAACTGTAAAGTTTACAAAATTAAATATATTAGCAAAAAGGGATTATGCAATCATTATTATTATCCCCCTGATTTACTTCCTGGCCTTTATTAAATGTTTCCCCCATTTACTTGGAAGCACTTTGAGTAATGGCTCAGTTTCAGAAGCCTCAATCAGAAATTTTAATAAGCACATAAGCATTGTACTCCCAGAAAGGAAAGACCACTGATTATCTTTTCTAGAACATCCTGCAGCAAGTGATGCAAGAGCTCTCAGAATACAGCAAATAATTCAGATGGTGTCAATAAAACTGGGCAAAGTAGGTGGGGTAGAACCAAAAGGAAAGAAAGAAATGTTGTCCTGACCTTTTGACAGGTTAAACAGTAGAATCTTGAATCTTGACGCTGTTTACAGCCGGTGTAGATTATTTTTTTTGGTGGGGGTGGGGGTGGGGGGTGGGGATGGTGATGGGGGTTGTGGTTTTTTTTGCCTAGGAAAAGATTGCATTATCCTTGAAGCCAAACCATCAATTTAGTCTGATGCTGCTGCTATGGCTGCGTTGGTTATGGACACTTTAGAAACCTTTTTTTTTTTTCATTGTTAGGTATTTGCTTCTTAATTATGGTCCCCAAACTCATTCTGTGAAATGGAAAGATGACTGCATTTCTGTAAAAGCTATATATTCCAAGCTACTTAAATAAACATTTAATCTCCACTTTTCCTGGATTTCTGATGGGCCACCAATGAGGATGCCTTTCTCTTCCTTCGCAGTATCTACATCGCTGGAAATCAATTTGACAAAATTCAAGCTTCTGTAAAAATTTATTGAAAGGAAGGCTACATTGGACTAGGCACTGGGAGAGAGAAAATTCATAACTAAGGGACGATGCTAATGTCTCTGGCAGGACTGACCAGGCATCATATAAAGAATTGCTTGCTCTTTGCAAGAACATATATGCCAAAATGCTAGAGAAAAATTCTGTTGTAGTTTGGGGACTAATAAATACTGTGGCAATTCAGGAAGCATTCAGAGATCCTTTCCTCATCCCATTCCTCCCAATTGCATATAAAAACAAAAGGTATTTCTTCATAGGTTTTCATTCATCACTGGTAATGTGATTATGATTTCATTGCTGGTCAAATTCCAGGGAAAATAAATATAAATTGCCTTTCTTCAGCCACAGCTGAGGGGAGAGAAACAAATATGGCCTACTTCATATAAACTCCACACCCCCAAGCAAGTGATAACATTATTAAATAGCCAATTTATATATCCTTACTTAACACTTGCTGCCACCAAGTGGAGGACCATAGCTCATTTCTTGGAAACCAAAACATCTTAGAAGGGAAGGAAACAGGTTTGTTTCACTGAGCCTGGCAGTTATTTGACAAGAAATCAGAACTCCCCCCACCCCCGCCCCGCTTTTCCTTGTAGTCACATGCCTGACAAAAATTTGCAACCAATGGGTTCTGAAACCTTATTGAAACATCCAAAGATCTCAGACAACAGGCTGGAGGTATATATTGCTTTTTACTGCAATACCAGAGAGTAGAATTATCTAGGGGAAACCTATTGTCATATTCAAACACTTTAAATTATAACAAGAGTTTTATGTTACTGGCACTGACAGTACCTTGCCACATAGTATTTTGTTGGATGATAACAGCTCTATTGTTTTGTTCCCCCGAGATTTTGTGTATATTTTTGTTGTGTGCCATGAATTAGATTCTGACTCATGACAACGCTATGAGACAGTGTAGAACAGCCTCCTATGGTTTCCTTGGCTGATATCTTTATGGTAGCAGATCTTTTTTCCCTTAGAGTGACTGGTGTGTTCAAACTGTCAATTTTTGTTTATTAGCGGAGTACTTAACCATTGTGCCACCAGAGTTCCTTATATATGTAATTGCATGCATGCATTTATTTACGTTTTATGTATCTGCAGGTTTTCTTTCTCCCCCTCGCCCCCACTCTCCCCTTGCTTACCTCAAGGAGGCAGTGCTTGAGAACACTCACACTTTAGCTAAGTTGGCAACCTGTTTACCTGGAATGTTAAGATGCAAATCAGTAATTGTGTGTACTATTTACCTAAGAAAAAATACAGCAGAGAATGGTCTTATCATTGAAAATCAGATGTTCCCATCTGTACCAGAGAGCAATTGCTTAGTGACTCTAAGGGTATTGGAGGAGGGCTCAACTCCCAACAATCTGAACATCTCCTCACATCCTTTGTATCCTTCAGATCCCTCTAGAGTGTAGACCCACTGATTAGTTCATCTACATGGCCTTCTCAGAAGATGTCAGTGTCCTATAATTTATATGATAAGTGATTCAACAAACAATTGGTTCTACCAAAGGCGAAGTCCTTGGTCCCTGACAATGCTGTCATAAGCCTGTAAGTCTGCTGGTCAGTTTGTATGAGGATACGTCCAGTAAAGAAACATAATCTATTCCCTTTATAGGGCTCTCTCTCATCTGTCTGGGGACAGACATTATCTTGTCTTGACACACTGGTGAAAGATGCTTTCTCACTGTCTTAAAACTCACCCCGAGATCCTGGCCTCCAGTCAGCCTTCCTGAGGTCAAAGAGAAGACATGTTTTCTGGGCATTCTAGTAATTAGGTCCTCAGGTGTCAGTTTTGCAGTTATGTTCCCAAGGTCTGACTGAAGTGAGACACCGGTCAGGTAATTCCTGCTTTTCTGTCTCCCACTAGCTTCATGCAAACTCTTTCCAAGAGACAATAGAACCTGGTTTAGGGTACCTCTTGTCTTGCTGCCCCATCCTTCTTGGAATTAACTACAGAGAAGGACTTCTGCAGGAAGAGGAGAGGTTTTTGCTTGTTTGTTTTTTAAATTTTCTGAGCGCTCCACCTTTCTTATTTTTTAAAGTTTTTTTGAACCTCTATACTTTTATCTCCCATGTGAAACTTTTTACTGTAGCCTTCCTCTTTTTTTTTGGTCATTTCTTCTTGCAGATATTTTTCAAGCTCAAACCTTTCTATTCAGAAATCAGGAAGAGATTCACACTTCCATTTCAAGATGACCCTCTGGTGTCTCCTCCTTCAGTCTCTACATTTTACAGGTGACCTTCTTTAGCAGGAGTCCTGCCAGGTAGCTTGATGTCTGGGTATTGTTGGTGTGTTGTTATTTGTTTATTTCTCTCTTTGCTTCCTCACACCCCTGCAGAGGAAGCTAAACTGCGGCATATGTATAAAATATCTCAATTTCCATAGTCTCTTAGGGGGAAAAATTGGAGGAGAAGAAAAGTCGTGGGGACTAGAGAAAGAGAAAAAAATACACAGAGACTCCCTCTGAATAGCGGGTTCCAGAGGTGTATGACAAAAAGGCCTTCTTCCTTCTGCCCCAGGGGCTGGCATCCCAAAGTCCTCCATTGCCCTCTCTGAGTTAAGTGCAACGTTTCAGGAGGTGTCACTGAAGACAGGTGGAGATGAGGGTTTCCCATCCACATGCCCCCAAATCTCAACTCCTACTTTTGTGTTTCCAAACCAGGACTCCTATGCTTCCTGGTCCTGGTACTGGATTTTATCCACCCTTTTGTGACTGGCCAGTGCCTGTATCACTGTTTGCACTTACCTGCCAGGAAATCCAGCAGGGATGGAATGGTGGCTACCACGCATGCATGTTCTTCCCCTCCTCCCCAGCGAACCCTGCCCTTCCCCTGCAGTGCGCGTGGGCACCGCCCATCCCTTTATCCCCTTCTTGAGTGCAGGCATCCAATAGCCTACAGAGGTGCTGGGAACCTCCTTAGAGCCTTGCTAGTTGTGGCCTGGCTGACGTGCCCCCTCCCGTGTCAGGGAGGGGGCCAAGCGGGTGGCAGCGAGTCTGCAGCATGGGCCTCTGCGGCAATGACCACCACTGAGAGGTGTGCCTCGCCATCTCCTTTCATTTCCATTCCCAGTGCTGGGGGGTGGGGGTGGGGGACAGCCCCAAACATTTCCCAAGACCTTTCACGTTCTCTGGACGGCTCTTCCCCTTCTTTCTCAAGATATAGTTGCTTCCGGTACAATCTCCTCTCACCATGCAGAAAACTGCTTGGACTCCAACCCCATGCTGCCACCTCCGTTTCTAACCCCAAACACTCCACTCTCTTTCCCACATGTTGCTTCCCGCCTCCCAACTGCTTTCTGATCCCCTGGGAACCCGCATTCCCGCATCTTTCCTAGCATCTTAACCAGCCTGTGGCAGCCAAGTAGGATGCTAGGGATATCCAGGGTCTAGAGAGTTCTATAGCCCCCCTGCCAGGCCTGGATTCTTCTTGCCATCCCAGAGGGTCCCTTTTCTTACCTCTCTACTGGACAACCGCACTGACATTTTGAGCGCTGGCGATGAGGAGGTCTGTAGTCTCCTCTCTAGAGCGATCGCTGGCCACTGCAATAGGCATGGTGCTGGGCTCGTCTTCGAATAGCTCGCTGAAGCGGACTCTGGGCATGACTCTGTGACTGGTTCTGCGGCTGGTTCTGTTGTTGGTTCTATGTCGAGTTCTGTGGCTGGCTCTGGATTCGCCTCCAGACAAGGCTTTGGAGCCGACTCTGGACAAGACTGTGCTGCCAGTTCTGGTAAAGGCTCCTGGGGCAGCTGAGGAGCCTGCGGTGGTGGTGGCTGCGGCGGCGGCGGTGGCTCTGGAGGCTCTTCAGGGTCGTCTTCATCCTGAGGTGGAGCGGTGTCCTGGGCCGCCGCAGCTCCGCGGTCCATGACTGCACACTGCCTGAGGTCTGGGCAGCCTGTACTTCTAGCTTGGAGGGCTAAAGGACCCTAGGGCGCCCCACCCATTCCAGTCCGACAACCCCTTGCATGGTGCCAAACTTTCCCCCACCCCACTCCATGGCTGTCTTCGCTCTGCTCTGAGATCTAACTGGGGGGCGCTCCGCGTCGCCCGGTGCTGGAACACGCCCCTCAGTGAGCGCACACCTCTTCGTAAGCAGCCACGGATCCGATGGGTGGGAAGCAGAGGGGCTAAGGACTCGGACTGGACAGAGGGCTTGATGACCTACCAGCCACTTGTGGGAGGGGTGTAGGGGGGAGTGCAAACTGGGGAGGAGCAGAGGAGTAGCTGCGGAGGAGGGGGCAGGGAATTGAAGCCTAGACCTATTTAACCCTTTAGTGATGCAAATGTAAAAAGCGCAAACCTCTAAAGCGAACTTAAGGGTCTTTGCAACCCACTACTTAGCCGCTCAGCAGGGAGCAGCTTTTCCAAATAACGTCCATCCTGAGACTGCTCTCCCACTTCAGCAGCAGGTGAGTCTAGCCTTGGACCAATCTCTTGCCGCTCGCCCCCCTACCCCCACCGCATCTTCAAGCCTCTTTCTGCAAGTAATCCTTTTTATCTAACCTAGGAAATGAAATTAAAATGCACAGTGTGTGTGTGTGTGTGTGTGTGTG